CCTTCCCAGGCAGGGACTCACACCACCTGCCATCCTGCCTCACCACAGGAGCCTGGTGGCAAGCACCAGGCAGCAAGAAAGACTTAATTGGGAAACTAAGGGAAGAATTCATCTAAACTGCCAAAGAAGGGGAGAAAGAAACCTAGATGCAGATAAAGTCATGATGCAGAATTCTTTTCTCTGGAAGAAGCCGAAAAGTGGCTGCCAAGAACCTTGCCCTAGGCTGGGTCCCTGCTTGGGAAATGGCAGGATCCTGACTCGAAACAAATTGGCATTGGCACTGTCTCCAGAGCTCCTGAGATGTCCAGATCTCAGATAGGGGCAGGATTCATCTTATCATGCAGACTTTGTCTAGGACACTGACATACAGGATAAAGACACCTTTTTTTCTAGTCTCTACGGCTCTCAAGGGGCCTCTGGGTCTCAGCCCCCTTATAGTCAATTACAACCACTCCCTTTATGAGGTCATAACAGATAAACGTAACAGCTAACAATGTACCCTTAATTTTGTATCAGACAGTTTTCTACTAACAACTGTGTGAGGTCAATAATGTAACCAGAACCTGCTACTGCTTCAGGCACAGGACGTGGTGGGTGGAAAGAATAGTCTTGGAGGTAGGCCAGAAGTTTCACCATGTGCACTTCTGAGAAACCTGCTTAGCCCACCTAAGCCCCGAGTCTCAGCTACCCATAAAGTGGATTAGAACACATTACTTTGTGGAGTCGTGCTTACTCCTTAAAACAGAGTACATCCTCCATGCCAGACTGTCCCCTTCTCTGTCTCACCTCCCCTTCCAGCCTGTTTGGTCAGAACACATTTGTTAGCCATTAAAGCTCCTGCTTGTGAACACAGTCTGGTTCTTTTTATTCTATACCAGTCTACTCTGGAAGTACTCCAAGTCTATCTTGTGTGGGATATGGTACCAGGTACTGGTGCTGGGTTTAGAGTGGACTGGAGGCAGAAGTCTGTGTGATACAGCAATGGCAATGGGGCTGGGGGAGGAGGCAGCTGGGAGCAGGGACTCAAGCTGCTAGGGTTCTTCTCCAGCTTGCCTCTCTTTTGCTGGCCTCCAGCCAGGGTGAACAGGCAGCAGCTTCTTGTTACTTCTGCCTGCAAAGCGTGCACTCTGCAAGGCACCCTTTGGGGACTATATTATCTCAAAGCACCCAAGTCTCAGCTCCCAAGCAGAATGACATCTGAGAATACTGTGACTGGGCCTATCTTTCCTGACCTGGAGCTCTCTGTTTTAACACAGTGAGCCAGTCCCTAGGCACTAAGGACCAAGCAAAAACTATGTGGGGCTAGAGAGGAACTGAGCACAGCTCCTAGCACCAACATCGGGAAACTCAGGCAATCTGATGTCCTCTGACCTCTGTGGGCACATGGTACATATAGACTCATGAAGGTATATATATATTATTATTATCTCATTTACTTTAGTGGGGTGGAACAGGGTCTCCCTATGGTAATTGTTACTATGTGCATAACTATGTAAAACAGGTTGATTTCTCACTTGCAATGATTCTACTAACTCAGCCTCCCACAAAATGGGATTACAAGTACATGCTGGGATTACAGTATGCCCAGCTAATTTATGTATTTACTTATATTCATATTTTTATTGTGTATAGTATTGGGATCAAACCCGGAGCCTCGAGCATATGAGACATGTATTCTTATCACGCTCTAAGCTAAAACCAAGACCAATGTCTGATTTCAAAGGACTCAAGCACTGTCCAGTCCCCACACACTGACTCTGACAGCCTCACTGAGGTAACACAGGGCTCCTCTTCCCTCAAATAGCTTCATTTCCCTCTCCCAACGAACAAATACCTCACTAGAACATTTCTCTACCACTTTCCATACCAAAGAAAATCAGAAACAAAGAAATAGACACAAGAGGCAACTTGTGTACTTTATCCTGCCCAATGTGCACAGTAGTCCCGTGACTAGGAATTATGATCCCTACTGCATGGATGAGGAGGGAAATAGAGTTCACACAGAGTGGTGCTGGTTTGAAACATGGCTGTCTGCTGGCTGGCTCTGCTCTTTCCAGGTCCCAGGCTGCCTCTGTCAGTCAGCTTCCAACTCTGCTAGCGTGGGCTGCTTCATGTATAGATTACCTTCAACCTTTTTGTCCATGCTGGTCCCGGGGGAAACTGCCTTCTTCCATGCAGTGGCAGCAGCAGCGACTGGGCGCCGCCTTAGATTCTCTCATTAGCTCATCTTAATTACACCCAGACCACGGCAGTTCCGGTGCAAAATACCTGCTCCTGCTGCAAAGCAGGCAGGGTTACTGATAGCTTTCCCTGCCTCTAGCTCCTCCAGCTCCCCACCGCTACCAGCAGCTTCCTTTCTCTGCTGTCCTTGGCTCTTGCACATGACACTGGGGCAAACACTCAGTCCACTCCAATCCAGACCGCTGTCGGAGTCGGAGTCTAGCTCAAGTCTAGCTCATGACTCTGCTTAGTCAGGTGCTGCTCACGGTGCTGTGAAAAGGGCAAGAAAGGGGAAGAGGGCACAGAGTGCTTCCCTTCCAGAAGCCTAAAGTCTAAGGCTAGGACACAAAAACAGAACAAAACACTGGCAAGAGGCAGGTGGAGACTTGAGGGAAACAATTTACAGGTAGGAGAACTAAAGTCTAAGAAAGACAACCCAGGGAACTAACCATATCAAATAACAGCAACTAACATGTTTTTAAAAAATTTTAACTTTTTTCTAAAAAAAGGTTTTACTTTCAGTTTTAATTGTGTGCATATGTTTGTACAAGTGAGCAAGAGTCTATGGAGGTCAGAGAGGGCTTTGGATCACCTGGAGCAAGAGTTACAGGTGGCTGTCAGCTGCTGGACATGATTGCTGGAAACCAAACTGGGTTCTCAGCACAGCGCATACTCTATCACATTAACACTACATGCTGGGTACTGCTGCTGCCTCTGTTTTAATGACAAGGAAAATGAGGCTGCGGGGGGTGGGGGGAGAGAAGGGGGCTAAATGCCTTGTCTGAGTTCCCGCCAGTACAGAAGCCTGCACTGAACTCTGGACCCTTGCCACTACACTGTAGTCCGTGATGACAACCTCATCTGGGTACAGTGACTGAATATGGGGGCTGTGAGAAACTGAGCAGGAGTACAAAGTTTCTGAACACACAGCAATAATGAATTATTTCAAAATCAATTCTGTAACGAAGTCAGGTGTTACGGTAGTGCTTGCCCATGCTGTATCATGTATGTGACTTCACTGCAGCCTCGATTCTGTACACAAGATGAGGTCAACAAACACGGCCTGAAAACCCAGGTCAGACTCCCTGTGATATAAATTGGTTTCTGCTCTTAGAAGCATGATGGTCAAAGTATGAAAACCAAGACTTTTTTCTAACTCTTCTCACTGTCATGCCTCAGCAGTGCCGAGTTAGTACATCTCTGGCCTGTGCTATGCTAAAATGCTTGATTTTAAGAACTGCTATGAGTTGCTGATTTGAATTTCTTTTCTTTTCTTTCTTTCTTTCTTTCTTTCTTTCTTTCTTTCTTTCTTTCTTTCTTCCTTCCTTTCTTTCTTTCTTTCTTTTTTTTTTTTTTAAGTCATTAAACAGATGGCTCAGTGAGTAGAAGCTCTTGCCGCCAAGCCTAAAGATCTGAGTTTTGATCCCGGAAACAAGTGCTGTGTGTGCCTACACATATACACACACCTAACTTAAGTTTTAAACATTAAATGAATTTTGGCTGAGGACAGAATTTGCAGCAATTTTTGAAATGGTCCTAAACACTGCTGTTTAGTACTGGGTATTTAGGGGAAGTGGTGCACTCAGCACTGACGGCACTGAATAGCAAACTTTCAACCAAGATTTAACTCTGTATGTAAAAATAAACGTGCACACCCATCTCATCAATACACAAGTCTGCTTTGCCCTTTAATAATAAACGTTCATGTATACCAAAGAACTGTTTTTAAAACAAATTTCTATTGCCAGTATTTGTCTGATTTGTATATGTACTTTATACACATGTGTACCTGGAATCGTGTGGTGAAAAGGGTCATGAGCAGTGAGAGTCTAAGAAGTCCATTCTGCCCCACTGTGCAGCTCAGCCTGAACTGACCAGGGACATCAACGGACGGCTTTCCTGAATTAATTACTCTTGGGGGTAATCATGAAAACCATGAACTTGCATTATCCAGAGCCAGCTAAAAGGTTTGTGTCTGACTGGGAGTGTGCTGGTGTAGCTGTATACCCGGCAGCAGGGGCTGTGAGTCAAGCCCTGTGCTTCCAAAGGCAAAGCCAGATCAAGAGGAAAGAAGGTTTTAGATGGGTTTATGCAGAGATCCAGAAGTGTTCACCTCACTCCTTGGTTTTATGTCTTGCTGTCTATACATGATGCCCAAGAATATGAATTAGAAATATTATTTTCTGAGGCAGTTCGGGCACCTTCAAAAGATACTCAATGATAGGGGCTGGAGAGATGGCTCAGTGGTTAAGAGCATTGCGTGCTCTTCCAAAGGCCAGAGTTCGATTCCCAGCCACCACATGGTGGCTCACAACCGTCTGTAATGAGGTCTGGTGTCCTCTTCTAGCAGGCATATATACAAACAGAATATTGTATCCATAATAAATAAATAAATATTTTTAAAAAGATACTCAATGATATAGTCTGAAATGTTCATAAAATGGGCTTCTAATAAATGCTTTGTCACCAAAAATGGTACCCCAAATTCCCCCCCAACCACCACACACAGGGGACATGGTCTCACTATCTATCCCAGTATCTCCCCCCATACACACAGGGGACATGGTCTCACTGTATATCCCAGTATCCCCCCACACACACACACAGGGGACATGGTCTCACTGTCTATCCCAGTATATATAGTGGTTTAGAGCTTGCATTTAGCTTCTGGAATGCTGGAGTTACAGATGCACACCACTAAGCCTGGCTCCCCAAAGACTTTCTCCAATTCTCTTACATGGGTTTCACAATAAACTGTTACCATTATAAAAGTTACTTACCAATTATTGCCAAATTGTGTTCTGAGCCACAAGAAATCTGTAAAGAAAATATGTGTCATTAGAAAAAAATGGATATATATCTCAGCTGGTAAATTTTATGATCATAGTTATTTTATAATGGCATGCACATTCATTTTGGCAAATCTTAGAAAGATGTAGAAAGGAGCATCACATACAAAGGTTAAAATTATAATTATAACATATTCACAGCTATATGAATATATATATATATATGAAGAAACATCAAAAAGAAACGCATCAAGATGTTAAAGTTGTCTTTAGCCAATTAGACTACCAGTGATGTTTTTCTTTCTGCTTTTTACTTTTCAAATTTTCTTTTTTACTTAAAATTTTTAATTAGTTTGATTTAATTTTTTTCATTTTATTTTACGCGTATGGGCTTTTGTCTGCACAGGCACCATGTGCATGTAGTAACCACAGCGGTCAGAAGAGGGCGGTGGATCCCCTGCGATGGGTTTTCAAACAGTTGTAAACTACCTTGTGGGTGCCAGGAATTGCACCTGGGTCCTCTGTCAATGTTCTTAATCTCTAAGTCATCTCTCTAGCACCCCTCACACACATACAGAAGTTGAGCCATCTCTTAGTACCCTTCACACACATACAGAAATTTAGACAGTGTCTCATGTAGCTAAAGCTGGCTTTAAGCTCTGGCTTCTATCTTCTAAGTGCTGAGATTACAGGAGCGGGCTGCCACACCTAGTACATTTTTCTAAATTTCTATAACGCATATGTTACTTTAAAAAACTGGAAAGATAGCAATAAAGATAACAGTTTTCAAATACTGAATTAAAAAGACCATCACTGTCATTTAGTGATAAAATGAGCCAAGAAGTCAGTAGAAGCAGATGCTTCTGTTCTGCCCCCTCCCCTTCCAATCCAGACTCCCTGTGGCCTCTGAACACATGGTGTTCTCTTGTGCTTGAGTCTATGCCTGTTCGTCCATCCAGGATGGCCTCACCCCACTGCCTACACAGAAGGCTCTGCTCACTTTTCACCTGGAGCACTTACTGAATTCTGACTCCAGCGTGTAGGCTGACTCAAGCACCTCTGTCACCTGCCCATCTACCAGGCATCACAATGCAGCGGGCATCTTGTCTTCTAGTATTTCTTCTGGTCTCTTGCACTAGCACACGTACCCTGAGAACACAGCTGTGTCCCACTTCTGCACTGCGCTTGTGAAATGTATGAAGCCTGGGGTTCAGCTAACATCTGACAAATGAGAGAATGAATACAAGCACTATGTGAAAGAAAGAAAGAAAGAAAGAAAGAAAGAAAGGAAGGAAGGAAGGAAGGAAGGAAGGAAGGAAGGAAGGAAGGAAGCCTCAGAGTTGTGCTCCTTGCCATTGATGGCAAGCCCTCGAGCCCGCCTCTTTCAAGCTGTTTACAGATAAAGCTCAAAAGGCAGCAGAAAACTTGCACACTGGTCACTGAAGTGATTGGTTATAGGACTCCCGCTTTCACAGAATTATACCCGGACTCATACACCGTCATGGCACTGCTGACAATGGAGGAAAGTCTCAAGAGGATGATGAGAACCTCGGCTTAAAGCCTGCAGGTTCTGGCGTCATGCCCATGGTGAACGCTGCGCCAAATACAAGTGCTTCCTTGTTTGTCATGTGCGCTGTCAGGACTGAGTGGATGGCAAGCATTTGATTTTTGATCATATGAAAGATGAACATCTTTGAACACAACAAAGACCGGCAAGATCACCGATTTCTTTTCTCTTTTCCCATGGAAATTGGTGACATTTGACCCCCAATCCCCCCCCCAAAATGTACTTGAGAGCAGTTGAATAGATAAAATGTTTCATTTGGCATTATATTTGTGGTTTTTTTGAGAAAGAGTTCTCTGTAGCTTTGGAGCCTGTCCTGGAACTCATTCTGTAGACCAGGATGGCCTTTAACTCACAGAGATCCACCTGCCTTTGCCTCCTGAGTTCTGGAATTAAAGGCGTGCACCATCATTCCTAGCTCAAGCTAGGTATGTCCCTCACAGTGTGAATGAACCTTTGCATGTAATTGGTACTTAGGTCTACCCCCCAACGCCCAATTTCTAGAGATGGTTGCTTCTTTCTCTGTTGAATGAGTGATAATTTTAAATTATATTTTGCAATTTTGTTTTAGTGGGAAATCCTTTGCAGAACAACCTTCATCTTTCTGGCTAAATGACTTTTGTGCCAGTGATACCAGAAGCCTACAGCCATGTTCTTGCAGAATTTGAGTCCTTGGACCCGTTACTCACAGCTTTGCGGCTGGATTCTAGTCGTCTAAAGGTGAACTTCTGTTTTGAGACAGAGTCTTATGTAGCCCATTACTTTCATTTTATATCCAAAAATGTGTTTGTGTGCTCTGCCATTCTTGCTCCTACCTGTGTTCTTGCCCCTCTTGTTTTGTGGACTCTTGGGGCTTTTGCCTGTTTTACCTTACATGGAAGTAGCTCTTTCTTTATTTTTTGAATTATCAATTGATTCTTTCTCAGTTCTGGAATACACTACTATTGCCTCATTTTCCTTCTTCTTGGTACTCTTGCTGTCTTCTCTTAGGAAGTGATGTACTTTATTGGCATTGAAATAGTATAAATGAGCTAATAAATATCAAGCAGCTACAAGGCACATCGGCAGCTTCAAAACCGCTCCTCACTAATTTAACTTCTCCATCTTCTCCTACCTACCAAGTTAGTGAAGGAGGAGCAGCAGCAGCTGAGAAGACAGCACAGTGGGGAAAAGGTTTAATGCACAGACATGACCTCAGTCTGGATCTCTGGCACCCACACAGAAGCCTGCACAGAGTTGGGATCCCATGTCCCAGATTCAACAGGATACAGGGGACTACACACATTACATGGACTCTGACAGAGTGTGACAAAGAAGCCTCCTTGAGAAGTGGCTCCAGACTGTCTCTCAGCTTGAGGTGGCTTGTCATTGACCCGAATCTCCCATGACAACTTACTGGGGACTAGTGGCACAGTAAGAGGTCACCGTAAGCTTCCTGGTTGTACTGAGTCTGGCTCCCTAAGTCTGTTTGTTACAGGGAGCAACTCAGACTGACACCAGGAAAAGCTTTGTTGTCTAACAGCAAGCACATCTTTATGGAAGCTATGGTAGAGCGATCTGGTGAACTATTCAAATCTTTATGGAAGCTATGGTAGAGCGATCTGGTGAACTATTCAAATCTTTATGGAAGCTATGGTAGAGCGATCTGGTGAACTATTAAGCAGCCTAGGGAATGGTGCTTGCACTAAGAAAATATTTCAAATATCATGTGAACTGGGAAAAATCACATAAAAATTGTATCCACAATCCATTATTCACTCTATAATAGAACATGAATAAAAATGACTGAAAGGAGAGACATTAGTGCCTGTCTCTGGTCTGGGGGTGAGGAAGATGGGAATATGGTTTTCTTTTGCTTCTGTTGAGTCTTATACAATAGTCTTATAATTGTGGGGCAGGGGAAATCTATTAAATATAAGAAAAACATTACGATGCATTCCTTCCATACAGGAAAAAAAAAAACCCAACTGACTATAAAATCTTGTGTGTTTAGAACTGGGGGAGGGGCTCCAAAGGTAACAGAAGTAAATTAACAGGGTAATTGCATTCTGGTAGTAGGACTAGAAGGCATTTGTTCCCACTAGTCTTTATTTCCAGAACATTCTTTCACTGCAGTGGCAGCAGCAGTGGTGTGGTGACAGTGATAAGAACAATAATTAAATCTGCCATAACCCCAGGACTCGTGTGTGCCAGGCTGTGCTCCAAGGCACTTTTGAAACATTGGCACATTTTAATCATCACAGACATCTTTCCAGGTATGTTTGGCTTTGCTCATTTTAGAGATGAGGAGCCTGAGGCTCATACATATTCAATGATTTCCACAGACTTCCACAGTTAGTTAAGGAGGCAGCAACAGAATTATAATCTGGGTTTGGCTGATCTACAAACTACCATCCTTTACTGCTGCTCCTTGGTGAAAAAGACAGGCACTGCTGCTTTAAGAAAAAAACAAAACAAAACAAAAATGCAAATAACAAAAACCTGCATAAAACACAGAGGAAAAGGACTTGTTCCTGTGGGTTGGGGGTCACCCTGGGATCAGGAACTTGGAGCTGACCAGCACCAGAGATCTGAAGCCAGCCACCGACAGACAAATGCTAGCACCATAGCTGCTGCAGTGCATTTAGGAGTGACGCAGTGAGGGGCAGATTTTGTCAGGCCAGAGCCCAACTGTGAGCATGGAGCTTCTGAGGTCTCTCCTTCTCTGTGCTCCAGCACAGCGGTGGGGACCTGAACAGCACACTCCTTCAGTGAGAGCGCATAAATGGCCATTTGCTCCTGCCAGTGTCTACCCTGCACCCAGCGGCAGGCAGCTTTCTAGACTAAAGAATGACGATCCCAAGCAAGGAAGCCAAGTCACTTCTAGGCCCTTTACTCTCTAGCTCCTGAGACCTCTGGCAAGATTTTAACCCCCGGAACCTGAATGTTCTCAGATATTAAAGGTGACAGTGTATCTTGTCTACCTTACAGAAGTGCTGGAGGACATAGGGCCCTCCAGCCTTATACAAAAATCAGACCCCTGATGAAAACCCTCCTCAGTGCCGCTTGCCACTCTATTGGGAGGGCAGGTTTAAACTACAAAGCACGACTCACGAGGTCGTGAGGTGATCCACATCCACCTCTCATAAACTCTCGGCCCCACATAATGGGTTCCCTTTTCCATTCACGATGCGCATTTTCTCTAAGGACATGATGTCATTTCAAGCTCACATGCATTCTACTTTCCTTGACTGGGATTTCCTGTCTCCCACTGTCTACTTAGTAAGCTCTGGAGAACTGTGCAAACATCAGCTCCCAACCCCAGCTGGCTGCTCCACAAGGGCGCTCTGTGTCAGGGTCCTTCCCACTAGGGATGCCTATTCACTGGCATTGCTGTGTTACCTACCTCAGTCCCTCCATCACCCAATAGACTATCTGCCTAGTGTCTGCTCACAGCTCAGGTGCAGGGCATGAAGTGAGGGAGC